ACTGGAATTTTTCTAGTGGTTGGTTTACAGGATCTGGATTATAGTGTCTGTGCTGACCACTTCGCTTTCACTGTGAAACTAGAGACCAAGCGCAGACACAGGTGATATAATCCAGAGCCATCTCATAAAAGTAAAATAGGTATATCCAGTGAAGTTGACCATCAACATTAGTGAATAGTCAGACTTGTGTGCGTGATCCAGCTGTCTGACCATATCTTTGGCTTGACTTTTGCTCTATGCAGCAAATATCTGCTCTGAGTGTCCCTGTTTAGGTGATGGAGGAAGGAGGAAAGAGGCATGCACAGAGTATCCAAGCAGAAGATTATTTTAGTGAGGACAGTGATTGCTTGGTCTCGTAAAAGCAGTTATTTGCGATTTCCTCATAGATCTTAACTGATCACAGATTAGGATGTTGGCTAGATAAACTAAGAACTACAGGATTGTGAGACTGTTAGAAGCCGATTGGCTACCATGCACATCAGCTTGATCGACTAAGCTTTGCCAGAAAAAACTGGACGCTGATTGGTTTCTATGCAGATCTGCACCATATTTTGCACTCTTCACTGTTAGTAAACCCCAATGTGTCTATAAGCCAGGTGTGGCTCAGTCCTGACAACATTCTGAATAATATTTGATTTATTTACACAGAAAGTGGATGACCTCCTGCAGACACCAAATTACTTTAAAAAGGGGAATTTTCTGCTTGTAAAAATTAATTCAGTACTGAAAGGTTATTCATATATTGGGATTAAAGGTGATTAATGAACAGGTGGGTTCAGGTGACGGTTACCGATATCTGACATTTGATGTGCTCTGCATCCAGCCTGGAAAACGTTTTAGCTCTGCATAGCATACAGTTTTTTCCTGTAAAGGTATTGTCATAACTAGAAGGCCCTAAGGCGCTTGAATGTACAAGAACATCTGACAGATAAACTTTCAACGGTAGAGCTGCACGAGTGACCTCTCTAGTATTGGGCAAATTAATTCCTAGGTCCTTTTTAGCCATGATCTGTAGATAATCAGGTAATATATAGACTGCCCACAATGTTTATGGCTAACAGATATCTGTTTGGAAAGCAGAAGACTGGTAAGGTCCATGTGGTCATGCAAAGATCACACCTGTACAAGCCCTACTACAGTCTGCAAGACGTTCAGCCACAGACGGAACTGACAGATTAGGATGGACAAACATGTTAAAGGTCGGGGTCACCAACACCTGAACTAGGGTCATACAGCTTGCCAGGGGGTTGTCTTGCTATGTTGCTCGGTCCCTATTCACACCCCAAATACATTGCCATGTGCATTTTCCCTACAAGGCAAAATGCCAGGACATTGGAAAGTCCATTGTTTTTATGAACACCTTTTTCCTAGCAACTCATCAAGGTGCTCTGGAAGCAATTTAGTGTTATCTGCAGTTTCCCAACCATCAAATTGAACTGTTTGAAAACTCATGGCAGCTCATGTTAATATATGCATTTTTAAAATCAGTAGACAGCCAGTAAACCATCATTTAGTGTTAATGAACAATATATTAGAAGGAAAATTGTAACAGGCAGCCCTGGATATTAGGTTGATTGCGTTAGCAACTGGACTGTTCACAGCTCTTGCAAGAAGTTACTTATTATTATTATACAGGATTTATATAGCGCCAGCAGTTTGCTCAGCGCTTTACAATTAAATGGGAGACAATACAGCAACAATACAGTTCAATACAAGAGGGAAAGGTGGGCCTGATCCTTGGAGCTTACAGTCTAAGAGGGAAGGGCTAGTGGTACAAAAGGTAAAACTTGTGGGGGATGGGCTGGTAGGAGGAATAGAAGATTCCATTATTAGCTGAGGGCAGGATAGGCTTCCCTGAAGAGATAGGTTTTCAGAGATCGCCTAAAAGTGAGCAGAGTAGGCGATAGTCTGATAAATTGAGTTAGAGAGTTCCAGAGGATGGGGGAAGCTCTGGAGAAGTCCTGGAGATGAGCATGGGAAGAGGAGTCAAGGGAGTTAGAGAGCAGGAGGTCGTGTGAGGAGCGGAGAGTACGGTTTGGTTGATATTTGGAGACAAGGTTTGTGATGTAATTTGGGGCAGAGTTATAAATGGCTTTATATGTTATTGTTAATGTTTTTAATTTTACCCATTGGGCAATGGGAAGCCAATGGAGGGGTTGGCAGAGAGGGGTGGCAGATACAGAACGGTTAGTAAGGTGGATGAATCTGGCAGCAGCATTCATGATAGACTGAAGAGAGGATAGCCTGCGATGAGGTAGGCCAATGAGGAGGGAGTTACAATAGTCAAGGCAAGAGAGTTACTTTCTTTCCCACCTTCTCTCCCGGATGGAATTACAGACAAAAATAAAAATCTGACATAACTTTTAAAGCACAACTGAAATTTAAGTCGGCTAAACACTCTCCATGTGCATCAAATCAAGAGATGTGCAAAGTCTTAGTTTATTTTCTTTAGAAAGCAACCAGAGCCTGTCCCCAACATGCATGCTATAGTGAAGAACCCTTGCTCTCTGGAAGCAGTGGTCTTTCTTCAGAGGTATGAAACTCCTCTTGCTGAGTCAGCTCTCGAATCAGCAGGGAGTAGGAGTTTGCTGATTGCACAGCTCTTGCTGTGACAAACTTTGGGTGTATTTTATCTCGAAAGAGAGTCCACTGCTTTCATACAGAGAGCAAGGCTATAGGATGGCAGCAGACAGTGGCAGTGGACAGACTGTGAGTGGATACTTAGGTTGTGGCTGCTTTCGAAAGAAATAGATTAAGACTTTGAACAACTTTTGTTTGATGCACTTGAAATGTATTTAGCTGATTTGAATTGAAAATCCAACTGGGCTTTGACTTTTACACACTCTAAAACACACTAAAACACACAAAAAAATGTCCAGGCTATGGACATTGAAATATTTACATATTCTTAACAAGCAGTAAGAAAAGTTTGAAAAATGCACCTCCTTACAAACTTTGTGGTTCCCTGAACTCCCTTGCTCCCCCATCCCCGTCACCAATTCAACATAAAAGAACCCTCTTTGTTTTTGCTTACCTTTATCTGCAACATGTTGCTTGTTAGTCTTTTCTAAGAGTGGTGATTTGTGATCCAGTGCTCCAGTTTGTCCTCATCACTGACCGGTCCCCTTGTGGTGATGTCATTCTGCTATTGCAATCCTCTGGTCCCTAAAAAAAACCCCACCATTGGATAGCCAATGGAAAGTCCTCACTGATTTCTGTAGTTGCCACCACAGTGGGGCAATTCATCCTCCAAATTCACAGCAAAAAGTACTTTCAAATTCATTTCACTAGTTTATTTTTCTCCTTCCTCCCAGTCGTGGATTGGCAACCTTTCAATCTTCTAATCTGTAATATAAACACAGAGCAGGAGCGCAGGAGGAAGGGAGTGCCAAAAGAGCACAGACCCAATTTCAACAACTGTGCTTCTTTCTTGTAAACCTAAGGATGAATTGCTCCACAATGACTGCAACTACAGAAGTCAGCGAGGACTTCTATGTAAGAAAAATAACATAAATACATGTATATGTAGCCCTTTGCCTTAAAAAAGGACTACTAGTAAATTTAGCTGTGCTAGGTTGTAGTTAGCCCGGCTGATTTGTAGTCTTTTGGTCATTTTGATTTTACTCCTGTCTGGCCTAGATGTAGTTCCTCCCTTTTGTCAGTAGGTGGCATTGTTACCTTTGACATTAATATGACAACCTATAGTAAAGCTGGATCATGAATATGCATACTTCTCTCAACCAATCAGCAGGATTTTCTTCTAGCCACTGATGCTTGCTGGGAGAGAGTATGTATATTTGGGGAGGTCACGTGATCTGGGTCCTCCCACCCAGACCTTGGTCTGGTGTGGATGTGTAAGGAACAGCTGTGTTGGGTAGGCCTGAAGCCTAAGTCCTAGCCATGTGCTTGAGGCTCTGCAAGGTAGAGCCTGTTTGTTGCCTAGAGGCATGAGAAAAGGGATGGAGTTCTGAGATCAAGTACACTTCCATGAGCGGGGGACTGTGGAGAGTCTGAGAAACCATCAAGACTGACTCATCCAAAGAACCCCTGCACAGTGCTGTGAGATTTTGGTTCCTATAGGAGACAGCTGTTGCTATAAAGGTACAGAACATTGGGTGCAGGCCTAAGGCCCTTGTTCTGTACTGCTGTCTACTCCTTTTTTTTTTTAGTTTTTGGAGTCTGCTGATCTGTTTGCCTACTTTCCTAGGGTGTCCTGTGCCCTAACCCTCTCTCCCTACATTTTGTCATTATAAGCAATAAACTGGCCTTTGTTCAGCCTAAGAGTGACTGGCACCCAGTTTTTCTTTAACTGTCCATGCCCACCATGCTTAGGATCCTGACCCCTGAGGTGGAATGTCAGCCCTCCCTGATGCGGGGGGGGGGGGGGGGGGGCATTACATACATATTTGAATATCAATAGACTTGCCATGGTTTTACTTTAAAGTGTAACTGCACCTTTGGTGTAGTTACTCTTACATCACTGCCTCCGCCCCTAGTACTCCCATTCCTATACTTGCCTGTCCCTAATGCAGGGACATATTTCCTTCTAGATTGCCTGGCAATTTGTCAAACATCTTTCTGTCCATAGGAATGTATGGGATTGCAGAGGCCTGGCTGGGAAGACTTTTGACTAGCAGCCTGGTGATCTAAGGAGTGATCTCTTCTTGGACGATTGAGTATATAGTATGCCTGGGAGGAGGACAGGGGGTGCAGGATGCTCCAACATCAGTGCAGTTATACTTTAAACATTATAGGAACTACAGTATATTAGTAACAATAGAGGCAATCTTTGTTGTTATGGGCTATTGCACATTGCTCATTGCTCTTCTGACTTTTTTAATAAATAGAACCTTGATTATGTTGCTGATAAGAGTCCTCAGTTGAGGTCACCCATAACCTTTCTCTCTATTTGCCTTCCCCTTATGTAGGCAGTGGAGGAGGTGAATGCGCAGCTGCGAGAACTGTACCCAAGTAGCGAAGAACTCTTTGATATCGTGCTGATGACCAATAACCACGCCCAGGTTGGCGTACGGCTCATAAACAGCATCAATCATTATGGTAAGTCAAATAAATAACTGGCCAGCCTCAGATTTGCTACCACTGTGAAGGGAAGCGTCTGCTTCATCTACTTGACAGTCCTCTTTAATGTAGATATGTTTATTTGCCTATGTCAAGGCGTCGGTGACAACACACATTTTTATACTTTCAACAGACTTTCAAATCCCAGCACTGCAGACTTAACTTGTCACATTAGAACCATCACCAAACAAAATGGCTGCTGCTGCCTCCTCCTATAGGCCTCCCGTATCCAAGCTCTGCTGATACAGTTGTCTTAACAGAAGGATTATGTGCAGATTTCTCAGCCATGAGTAATGATGACATCTCCCCTCTTGCTGCTGGGATGTGTGAGAAGTTGAAAGAGAGAAACACAACAGGCAGCTGGGGTAGGGATGGATCAGTAAATTTGAGGTCAGCAGATAGAGCTCAGTGAGGAGTTAATCAGGAAGTGGTGGCTTGCCCCAGGGTGGTCTTACTGAAGACTTTCATCATGACACCTATGTCAGGCACTGAACAATAACAAACCCAAGTGTTTCTTTTTCAAGTTAAACACACAGTAAGCCTAGGCCTTTTTTCTCTGATGAGAACCGTGTTTGAGTCCTGCTGTTTCAAATCATTTGCTCAAACTGTAGCATATTTTCTTCAAATTGATACCTCACCTCTCTACAGTACAAATTACCGTGTATCAAAGACTCGCTCTCTGAAGGTTTTCTGGAATGCAGACATCAATTCTGTTATTTATATTTAAATGCAAGTATTTAATTTTGATTTATAGTACCAACATATGCCGCAGCAATTTACTGGAAGCACTGATATCACTTGACACAATACAGCTTGCAAAAATTTCTATTACCGTTTGAGTGAGATTAACCTGGGCAACAAGAAAACAAAGTGTTAATGCTATCCAGGAAACACTGCAACTATGCTGAAGTCAGGAATATTTTAGTTTTTTTGTGAATTTATATAAGCTTTTCTAGCCATATTTATCAGGCCTCTCACAGTGCTTAGAGGCTGGACCTAAACTGTCACTTGACCCTGTGCTGTGCAATCACCCTCCCATGCTCCAGTGCTTGTAAGGTAAACCTGTACTGGTTCAGTGAAAGGATGATCAGAATCAGAATATTTTATTAATCCCAAAGGGAAATTATCAAGATGCAGCCACATTCAATGAAAACTCAGGAACACAACAAGGAACAAAGACAAAATGACACAATAAAATTACCAATAACCGCCATAAAACTAAATTAAAACTATACTGTAATACATCCATACTATTAACATATAACATAGACTAAATAGCACAGATTGAAAAATAACAGAAAATCAAATCAACCAAAGTGCAAATTGTCCTCCATGTGGATGGATCATGTGGTGGAAGATGAGTGGTCTTAAGCTGGCCATACATGGATCAAAATTTCCTGCTGAACCAGCCGAGATTTGATCTATGTATGGGCAGGCTGATTGTACCGAAGTCAATCCAAGACTTGGGTACAACCAGCCTGTCGGATTTTATACATTTGATTACTCCTGGCTGCTATAGCCACTAGCAGTAATCACTGTGTTCTGCCAGCCAGGAAGGCTCCCTGCCAGCAGAACACAATAACCGTGTGAGAGGCATTCTGCTTTCAACACTAACTGTGTGGGGAATCAAGCAATTTTCTTTCCTGGAACCCATGGTGCAAGGAAGGAAAATCGGGTTATCTATGGGCTGCTTTAATTTTTGAAGACTCCGATAAGCAATTTCCGGATTGAACTAGTTGCACAACATGAGTGTCAGAATGAAAATTGAAGCTGCTTAGCAGGGCCTGTATCTCTGGTTAAAGTAACAGGTCCATTAGTAGGCTAAGTAACAGGTTCCGTTTATAGTAAGCACTCCCTATCATCTCAGTATACTGTAAGAGCCCCCTCAAACTCTACTGCCTGTAATCTTAGATATCGGAGAAGGCCAAATACTTACAGTAGATAGTGCTACTAATGCACCCTGTACACTCACGGGCAGTGTTCCAATCTAGCAATTAGCCCATCAAGCACAAAGTACTATGGGAGCCAATACATGTTGTATTGGCTGGAATTGTTGGGTATTTTTTTATTGGCTGGTTGAATGAGTGGTGGGGGTGCTCTGGAGTGCTATGTAGAGAATAATTACTCTTCATACTATACAGGCAACCTGTTACTTTTCTTACTGTTTGAATTGTGTGGAAAAACTGAAAGATTAGGTATATCCAAAATGTTAAGTTTTTGATAAAGTGCCAATAAGTTAGAACCCCTGTTGGGTTTTTATTGATGGGTGTCTCCTTACTGGGAAGTTTCCCGCTCACTACTTTCCTTGGTATTCATTGTCACTGAGACTTAAAGTGATGGGAAGTCCAAAATAATATTTGTCATGACAAATGGAGGTAAGGAAAAATCTTCCAGTGGGGGCAGCTAGGGAGCTTGTTCACACCACACGTGTCATAGCATGCTTTCTAATTTTGCACTAAGGTAATGAGTGACAATGTGCTGCTTATGTGTGTTGTAGAGTGTTGGCCTTTCATTCTCCATTGCACTCCAACACACATATAGGTTTGCTGCAATACGCATGTGCTATAGGACACCACAACATACAGATACAAATAGCCTGTCCATTTGGTGCTCTGTGTTTTTAAAAACTAGTGCAGCCATATATTTTCCATATGTTAAGTTGTGTCGACAGCCCATTCGAAATTAAATGGTTACCTAATAGATAATCATTGTCTTCAGATACACTTGAATGAAGGAAAGCATCACTAACACAATTAAAACATATGAATGCTGGAATTACAGACCTTGTGCTTTACAACAATGGTGCCAACCACTAGGCTACTGTACTGAAATATCATGATATGGAACCTTGAAGCCTAGTATTGTCTTGGAATGATAGTGGTTCAGATATGTGGAGCTCAGTATATGTGCACCAAGTTCACCAAACAATCCCGTATGTTTCAGGCCTGAACATTGAGCGATTCTGCATGACTGGAGGGAAAAGCCCCATTGGCTACCTGAAAGCTTACCTCACTAACCTGTACCTCTCGTCAGACTCTGAGAAAGTACAAGAGGCCATTGAGGCAGGTAAGGTTCACTCACTCTCCTGTTTGTCAACTTCACATTTTAAACAGGAAAGCCAAGTGCTGGTGTCTGGAAAAAGCAATGTGTGTCGGTGAATGTGTTCTTTCTCTTCGCAGCTCCGTGGCCTGAGCGTTCACTGTGAAGTCATGTTCTGTACAGTCTAAAATGGAGCTTCTTGTATGGGCTGCTGTCTGGCCACATGCTTTTCTTTTCTGGCTCCTTTCACAAGATGTTTATTCATTTCATCCACTACCTGTGCCTCATATTTCATCTCTGCATCTCATTTACATATGGCTAGTAGGAGCACCTGCTTCCTTCTACATCTGTGCAAATGGAAACTGTGTGCTGTGCATTTAAAGTGGAACTCTAACTACATGGTTAAAATGCACATACATTTTCTGTTTTATCTGTTAAAAACTTTGTAATTTTAGCCAGTAGCTCTTGTAGTGCACACATTTGCTAATTAGTAACGTTGCCTTGCTAAATCCTGGTTTATTATTACTACGTCTTGGGTCAGCTCTTGAGACAGCGGGGATGATGCCGAATCCTTGTCCAATGAGAAGGTTGGAGCTATGAAATGGACATGGGGAGCTATATTGCTGTTCTAGGAAGAAGAATTACATAAGCATGACTAAACCCAAGAACAAAACTAGATTATATTGCAGCCATGGTAGCTCAATTCATTTTCATTTGAGACTAATAATTTTATTTAACTGCTTTAATAAAGGCCTGGGTTCTTTCTTGGATACACAGAATATAACTGGATACTAACATTTATAGGTAAGGTTGATCCAGGGAATATCAGATTGCCTCTCAGGAGATCAGGAAGGAATTTGTTTCCCAGCAGGAGCAAATTGGATCATGCTTTGCTGGGTTTTTTTTTTTGCCTTCCTCTGGATCAACGGTGGGTATAGGATTATAACTTTTTTTTTTTGTGGTTGAACTGGATGGACTTTTGTCTTTTTTCAGCCAGACTAACTATGTAACTATGTAAACATGTGCAGTCTCTCTTTCTGTCATGACACACCCAGGTAATTAGTGGGCTGTGGTATTGATAATAAAAATCTGATGGTCAGTTAATTAACTGATTTATCCACAACAAAACGCATTTACAAACCGATACACAGTACACTCCTTGAAACACATTATTCAAGCACTGCAGCCTAATATCCATTAGATGTAATATTTATCCAATGGTATCCCATATGCAGGGTACGTAAATGCACTAGTAATAGAAGAAGACTTTTTATACTCAGTTATTGAAGATTGTAAGCTCCGAGGAGCAGGGCCCTCCTATCCCTCTTGTATTGAACTGTATTTTTCTGTATTGTCTCCCTTTATATTGTAAAGCACTGAGCAAACTGTTGGCACTATATAAATCCTGTATTATAATAAGAATAACAGAGCAAAGAATCAAGGAACTGGTGGTGGGACAAGTGAATAAAAAAGGTCTTCTTTCTTTAAAAAAATAAAAAATGGCAACAGCGTCTTGGATATTTTTTAGTTTCTATGATGAAAAGGTAGGAATTAAAATAAAGGACCCTAATGACTTCCAGTTAAACAGTTAATGTCTGTTCCTCTTCCTTGGCTGTGTATGTTTTTTCATATGTTTCATAAACTGTTCGCAATCCTCTCAGTATGAGAATGTGAGAGCCTGGCGGATCAGCTTGGAGTCTTTCCAGTGTCTGTCAATCACAGGTTTATATTGCGCAGCCTGTGTTACCGGTGTATATTGTTTTGTCCATAGTTTGTTGTGCCATGTCTGGCTTTGCTCTTGTAATACAAATGTCCTCCATAGACAGCACATCAGAGTTCTTTTTGACTTCTACTAGTTAAAGGAGAATTTTGGTCTGTATAAAAGTCAGTAGATGTATTTATTAAGGAATGACTGCAATTATTTTTTTCATTTCAGCAACTCAATGAACATTTATAAGCAGGTTTGTTGTGCTATTTGTAAACTTCCATTACTATTCACATTTGACGCAGTTCATCAATTTGCGCTGAACACAGATCCGGATAGATATTGTTATATTGAGTAGATTTCTGGTTTTTTCTGTTTTTTTTTTAAATATTTAGTAATGGCCTTGAACCCCTGTGGTGTCAGATTAGGCTCCTTAGGCTGCGGTTTATTTTTTAGACTCTTAAATGTGCTGAAGTGTGAAAGTCAGTTCCTATCAGCTAGGCAAGTTTCTAACCAGGTTGATTTGTGGACAGCAGGAGGTCTTGTTGCTGGTTAGAAACACATTGCATGCAGTGGGTAGTTTGAAGTCTTGGACCCACATTGTCAGAGATGGACACAGGAAAACATACCACCTAAGGTACTGGGCTACTGCTGCCTTGTATAAAGGGGAAACATTGGTCTCCAGTGCAATGCTTGTCTGTGGTTCCTCCTGAAGGTGACATGATACGTTTCGTATATCTGCAAAGGCCCTTCACCTGTCTCCTCCTTAACAAAGTATGAAAAGTAAAGTTTTGCTAAACCCAGGACCCTGCATTCACTATATCCAGTCTTCCACAGTACACAGAGCAATTATGCAATTATCTTAGCAAATATAAACTGCTAAATACCTCTTCTCATCAGCAGTCTATAGCAGTCTTGTGACATCTATCAGTGTGCAGCTGAGCACTGGGTAATCTTGTAGGAGGAGCTTTCATTCTCCTCTGACTGTCCTATAAGGCTGCATAAACCCTGACCCTCTGTCTGGCCAATGCTGATTGGCCCTGTGTTGATCACACGCACCCCCCCCAAAAAAAAACCTCTCTAGCAATACACACCAAACAGAGCATGTGCAGACTTGCCACTGCTGCTCTGTACTGTGGCAGATGGATTGGGGACTGTGGAAGAAGGGGAGGCTCAGAGAACACAGGATCATACAGCCTTTTTACACAATGCAGAGGATTAACCCCTTAGGTTCCACAGTGAGTATAACAAGCATGCTTTAGTGCATATACATACAGATTTTACTGTTGTGAATTTAGTAACACTTTACAAAATGGCCAGCCATCACATCCTTAACAACCTCAAATCCCTCTATCAGCAGAATGTAAATAAAAGAAGTGCCAGAGAAAAAAATGTGAAAGAAAACAGTGTGATCTCCCCAATCTATACCAGGTCCTTCAGCTCTGGAATGGGTTTTGAGGAGAACCCTGCTCCAAAATTAAAAAAAAAAATAGGTGGGGTTCTCCCCCAAATCTATACCAAACCCTCAGGTCTGGTATGGATTTTAAGGGGAACCCTACACTAATTTTTTGGCAAAGACAAAATCAGACCCTTATTTGGGCACGCAGCCAGACAAGTGACCTGGGACATCAACATGGGAGGGGTGATTTGAGGGAGGGGGCCCCCATGTTTACCTTTCATTTGGCATGTGTCCCTTGCCGTGTTCTGCAGGCAGGCTTTTTTTTTTTTTTTGTCATGTGAGTTGGCATTCATCGTGATTGACACTGGATCTGCTTCAGGTGACTTTTTTTTGTTTTGTTTTAATAAGGGCTTCCAGATTCCGATAAACGCCCTGCCTGCAGACCCCCACAACCAGTGCCCAGGGCTGTGGGGAAGAGGCCCTTGGCACCGACACGTTTTATGTCTACATTCTGCAGTCAGTGGGGAAATCCTTCAATATAAATCCAGCATGAGTCATGGTTGTTAACCTCTTCCCTACCACGCTATAGCTGAAAGATGGATGGACGTCCTCCCAGAACACGCCCCCTGCGAGCCCCCAGCGGCGCGCACCCAGTGCCGCCAGTGATCATTGTGCTATCACAGCATGAGGAAAGTACTGCCGATAACTGGCAATCATCAGAGAAGTGATCGGCACTGATCATCAGTGCCCTGATCATCAGTGCCCAGCTGTGTCACCCACCTGTGCCCAGCTGTGCCACCAACCTGTGCCCAGCAGTGCCACCCATCAGTGCCTATCAGTGCTGGCCATCAGTGCCGCCTATCAGTGCCTCCTATCAGTGCCCATCAGTGCCACCTCATCAGTGCCCATCAGTGCTGCCAATCAGTACCCATCAGTGCTGCCTATCAGTGCAGCCTCATCAACGCATATCAGTGAAGGAGAAAAATTACCTGTTTGCAAAATTCTATAATAGAAACTTTTTTTTTTCAAATTTTTTGCTCTATTTTTTGTTTATAGTACAAAAAAATAAAACACCCAACAGTGTTTAAATACCACCAAAAGAAAAGCTCTATTTGTGTGAAAAAAATGATAAAAATTTCATATGGGTACAGTGTTGTATTACCACGCAATTGTCATTCAAGGTACGATAGCGCTGAAAGTTGAAAATTGGCCTGGGCAGGAAGGGGGTATAAATGCCCGGTAGGCAAGTGGATGCGGCGGCCGCCTGCTCCTTAACAACCACAGCTATTCGCAATAAATTTGGATCCGTCTGAAGTTTTCAAATCCAACAGTATAATGAATAAACGAAACAAATCCTGAAGGAACAAAACAAAACCTGAAAATGAAACAGACCAACACAATGAAAATGAATAAACAACATTTTTACCTAAGTAATGCATCTGAAATGAAGACAATGCAAAATTTTCCAACTTGCACATGCCCAGTATGAAAACCGGACTGTTTAGTGCATCTCTGACAGTGAAAGGAGTGGCTCCCTCCAACAAGTTAATGAAAGCCTCCATGTGCAACAAGTGCTTGCAACATATGAATCATTATTGCCTTTTAGTTTTTTTTTTTTAATGGTCCACCCCCTGCCAAGATATTCCAGTGGGCCACCCACTCAGGATCAGGATTGTTTGCCAGAAAGTGCCCAGTGTCAGGGTTGGAACTACAAGTTTGTGGATCTATATACAAAATGTTCTGCTGGGACCTGTTTTTGGGGTTGCCCAAACAACGACATCTGGGGGCTGATCACATAATACAATTAGGTATCAGCAATGTATTTGTTGCATTCTTCAGTCTGTAAACATTTGCAGTGTATATTTGTTGCAGGACACACCCAGGTATTTATTGCTGTGATAAATACACGGACACTCCTAGACGCTGACGTGAACGAACACACCTACTCGCTGACTTGTTCAATACATTTACTATGTTTACAATTAGTGCCAGAGAATCACAATATACAGTAGCACAGACGTTTTGCCTTCTGGTACTTTAAAGGCATTTTCCACTTTGATAAAAAAGAAATACTGGGCAAGTGCATTACCATGGCTTACATAGTTGTCTTTCCTCCCCCACCTTGGACTTTTGCCATTGGTTGTAGACACAGTACCATGTGTTTACTGCTGCTTGGAGCAGATGAAGTCTGATATGAGACCAGACATTTAGACAAGCTAATTTACAGGGTACTAACAGTTATCCTTTAAATTATGTTAAATTAGTTATCCCGGCTGCAGGATTTCTCCAGGACTTCCCGCATCCTCTGGAACTCACTACCCCAATCCATCAGACTGTCACCTACCCTCCTCACCTTTAGGCGCACCCTGAAAACCCATCTCTTCAGGGAAGCCTACCCCACCCTCACCTAATAGCCGATCTCCTCCACTCCTCCTACCACTCCATCCCCCACAGCCACTTCCTCCTGTACCTCTACCCCCTCCCCCCTAGATTGTAAGCTCGAAAGAGCAGGGCGCTCAAACCCCTCATCTATTGTTTTGTTACTGTACTGTCTCATGTACTGTCCCCCCACTCTAATGTACAGCGCTAAGCAAACCTTTTGGCGCTATATAATATACTGTATAATAAATAATAATAAGAAAGTAAAAACATAAACAGTAACTCCTGAGTAGGGATGTACAGCAATACTAATTTTTTTTCACAGCGAGTAGAAGTACAGGCGTACCTCGGTTTATGAATTTAATGCTTTCTGCGGGACGTTCCGTATTGTGAAAAATTTCGTAAACCGAAACTCAGTCTCCCGAAGGAATGAATTGAAACCAGTTAATCCATTCTGGAGAAAAAGTAAAAAAAAAAGTCTTTTATCTGTTCAAGCTCTTTTTAAAGGCACTTTAAAGGCATAAATACTGAACAGGGACATGATTAATAATTAATTTGTAAATGCATTGAAAACCAATTAATCCGTTCTGTAGGTCAGAAAAAAAGTTAAAAAAAAAAAGTTTTATCTGTTCAAAACTCTTTATAAAGTGCACTTTAAAGCCATAAATGTCAGGTCATGTATCTAGTACGTGATCCGGCACTTCCGGGTAGGGTACATGTGTACCCCAGCGCGCCGGCTGTGCTGAGATTACTCACAGCACAAGCCGATCAGTGGGTGCCAACCAATGATTGACTGCTGGCACCCACTGATCAGTGAAGAGGAAGACCTGGACAGAGCTCTATCAATGTAAACAATACAGAGCTCTGTTCTGTCAGTAGGGATGTGCCGTTTTTTGTTTCCTGCAAAGCAGGGAATAAAAACCAACACATCCCTTAGTGAAAACACCTTACAATGTACACATAAACACTGGTTAGACACACATTTAACCCTTTGATCGCCCTAGATGTTTAACCCCTTCCCAGCCAGTGTCATTAGTACAGTGACAGTGTACTGTGTATTTTTAGCTCTGATCACTGTATTAGTGTCACTGATTCCCAAAAAGTGTCGGAAGGGTCAGTTAGTGTCAGATTGCCTGCCATTATATTGCAGTCCCACTATAAGTCTGTGATCGCTAGTATTAAAATAAATATGTAAATACATGAAAAATTCCAGTATATCTACCATGTACATGTTGTAGACACACAACTTTTGCGCAAACCAATCAATATACGCTTATGCAGATTTTTTTTTTTTACCAAAAATATGTAGCAAAATACATATTAGCCTAATTTTATGAAGAAATTTGATTTTTAAAATTTTTCTTGTATTTTTTTATTTTGTAGCAGAAAGCAAAAAAATATTGGTTTATTTTTTAATTTTCGTTTTTTTTATTTTTTTATTTACAGCTCAAAAAAAAAAAAAACCCAGTGGTGAACAAATACCACCAAAAGAAAGCTCTATTGTGTGAAAAAAAAAAATTATACAAATTTTTTTGTGTACAGTTTTGCGTGACCATTCAATTGTCAGTTAAAGTAACACAGTGCCAAAAAGAAAAAATGTCCTGGTGATGAGGGGGGGGGGGGGGGGGGTAAATCTAGAGGTCAAGTAGTTGTAAAGTGGTTGTAAACGCTTACATATACCCAGTGAAATGAGTGGCCTCAGGTGATTAAACTAACCCTCCTACATAGGTTGTAGCTGTCTGTATGCAGTCTTCTCTTCTCTACATCTGTTCAACTTGCCAAATTTAGAAAGCTTGTCTGAGAGGTCTGAAAACTGGGGCAGAGAGCTGACATTACACTCGGCAGAGCTCAGCTCTGAGAGCTGGTTGGAGGGAAGAGACACCCCTCACTCCACACAGCTCGCAGGAACAGAGCAGAGGCTGTCCATCTGCTGAGCTCCTTCCCCATCACTATTTTTCTCTTTGTGTCAGAAAAACTTGTCAGAAGTGATCCATGCGAATAGTAGAGGAACAAAGCAGCAGACAGAAATGACACTCAGTGCTCCTAATTGAGACAAGTACAGACTATAGAGGGTTATTCTTTGTACATAGTTCATGTCTGAGGTTTACAGCCACTTTAACCTTTTTGTATTTGGTTTGAGTTCAGTCCCTGCTGTACATCTTCTAAAGGACTTTTTCTGTTTTTGCAGGTATTGCAGCTGCCACCATGTTCACACCAAAGCAAGACATTACCCTGCATGAGAAGGAACTGCGGGTGGCTTTTGATGGAGATGCAGTGCTGTTCTCTGATGAGTCTGAGCAGATAGTAAAAGAAAAGGGTTTGGATTCATTTTTTGAACATGAGAAAGAACATGAGAACAAGCCATTGGCACAGGTAGGGAAATTTAAATATTGTGTACAGTGGAAATATGATTACATTTTGGGTAATTTAGATTTTCCCAGCTCAGAAATCAAATTTAATGGAGGTCTTTATGGCATAATTATTTGCTGAAGATTGTTTTTGTAGCAGGTTCTTTATGTGGGGTCTTTGATTCCTAACATTTTTATAGCTGTATATTACCATATACACAAATATATACACATATATTACCAATACACAAAGGATTTCCAGAGTACTACGGGTTACCCAAACAATCTGCACCACAGTAGTCATTTTCTTTCAGAGATATCTGTCTCGTTAAAACCCCAGATTAATGTGTTTGGTGGGTGTGGGAGAGAGACACTGCTTGATTTGTTCATGTGTTTGAATTTCAGCTAGAGCTGTTGAACTTTGTATACAGCCATTTTACATCAAAAGGGCAAAGGCGACACAGGAAAGAATGTACAAAGGAGCCTAAAATGTACAGTAGGTATAGAAAATAATCACATTTTGTTGCTTTGCAGCCTGAAATGAAGACAGACACAGTTTTTGTTTTATCCAGCTGTATTTACCCAGTGCAACATATAACATCCAAGTGAAAGATATAACACCAACATGTTAGAAATATATATATATTTTTTTTTTAATTCAGAAACAGAATCAGTGAGTTGGAAAAAGGATTGCCCTCTTCCTAAAAATGACTTGTAAACTCTATTAGGTGTAGCTAATCCTCTTCTCAATTACACACAAAGCCATTCCATTTACAACTGTGATAAGCTGTGGTCATTTTGATTAGCTCAGCATGAATAGAGCTTTCCTGGAACATTTTAGTCCCTGGTAGTGCAAATAAAGCAAACAATCCGCTATGGGTGGCAAGGCACTGTCAAACGATCTCCAGGATAAAGGAGAAGTACAAGTCAGGAGATGGATTATAAAAAAAGCCACTCCTCAAGAAAGATTTGAGGCCACATGGAAAAGGGTGTTATGGTCAGGTGAGACCAAACAAAATGTCTGGCAGAAATCCAAAATCGCTCAGCATGCAAATAACACCATTCCTACAGTAAAGCATGGAGGTTATAATATCCTTTTATGGGGGTGTTTCTCTGCAGCTGGGACTGGAGCACTTGTCTAGATAGAAGGAAAAATAGATGGGGCAAAATCCCGTCAAATTCTTGAGGAAAATCTGCTGTCCTCTGCCAGAAAGTTGTCAATGAGAAGGTTTACCTTCCAGCATGACAATGACCCAAAGCACACAGCAAAAATTACCACACAGTGGTTGAAGGAGAAAAATGTGAATGTTCTTGCAGAGCCCAGACGTAAACCCCACTGAAAATCTGTGGAATGACTTGAAGACTGCAGTCCACAAACGGTTACCATCAAATTTAACTGAACTTGAGCAGTTCTGCAGAGGGCAAATATTGCAAATATTGCAAAGTCTAGGTGTGCAAAGTTAGTAGAGACATATCCCACTAGACTAAAGGATGGAATTAAGGCAAAGGATGGTTCAACAAAAAACTGACAAAAGGGGGTGATCCTTTTTCCAGCTCAGTGATTCTCTTTTTGAATTGTTTATATTTTTTTCTGACATGTTGGCATTATATATTTCACTTGGATGTTATACTCTCATCGGCCACTTTATTAGATACACCTTGCTAGTACTGGGTTGGACCCCCTTCTGCCTTAATCCTTCATAGCATAAATTCAACAAGCTGTTGGAAACATTCCTCAGAGATTTTGGTCCATATTGACACAAGTTACTGTTGCCTTTCTATCATCTCAAACCAGTCTGCCCATTCTCCTCTGAACTCTGACACTACCAAGGTATTTTCATCCACACAACTGATGCTCACTGGATATTTTATCTTTTCCGGACCATTCTCTGTAAACCCTAGAGATAGTTGTACATGAAAATCTCAGTAGATCAGTAGCTTTTTAAATACTCAGACGAGCCCGTCTGGCACCAACAAGCATGCAATGTTCAAAGTCACTTAAATCCCCTTTCTTCTCTATGCTGATGCTCAGTTTGAACTTCAGCAAGTTGTCTTCACCACGTCTAGATGCCTAAATGCATTGTGTTCCTGCCATGTGATTGGCTGATTAGCAATTTGTGTTACCAAGCAATTGAACAGGTATACCTAATAAAGTGGCCAGTGAGAGTTAGAAATACAGCTAAATAAAACAAAACCGGTGTCTGTCTTCATTTCAGTCTGCAAAGCATCAAAATGGGATTATTTTAAAAGGAGAGTGATTCTTTTCTATAGCCACTGTATATGTTTGATAGAATAATATCATCAGTATGCTATATTTGTTTATTTATTGATGATGACAAATGTCCTTTTAAAGTAATACTTCAAGGAGCATCCATGGGACCAGGTAAGTATTTACGATCAGCTTTTGCAGGGACAGCTTTTAAAGCCATTTGATTTTAGTGAGTGAGTCACAGAAAGATTTTGCTCTTTTGTATATGCAAGCAAATGAGGCGGAATGCCAAGCTTTGTTGTGACAACAGCTTGCACTCAGTTCCTATAGTCATGTCTAATGTAACCAGTATATCACAGAAAGCTCTTAAGGTTTGTTATTTTAGGTTTTGAAAGCATGGCAGGAGAATTGTTATGTGATTTTATATGTGACTGTTTGCCAAGTTTGTGTCCAGTGCTAGACTGAGTTACATAATGCTGAACACTGTTAGCCAATATTATAGTTACATATACATGTTTAAATAATAGGGTCCTTCAAAGAGCATTTGCAGCAAATCCATTCAGTGAAAGATAATTGCTGATTGGTTGTGCTGTATTGTAGGCTGCTGCACTTTGCACATTCTTGCCTCCTTGAAAAAAGAGTTAATGGGTCTTCTGAATTGCGAACCACCTGCATTGTCCCTACCATGTATGATGACAGTAAAGCATCAATATGCAATCCACTGCTTTAAGACTGCACAAATCTCTTAATCTTTAGAGGCAGCTCCAAGTGGGAATGGATGGAGTGTATGTGTGTTGAGGGGGTGCAAGAGTTGTTAAAGGCTAACTGCACCTTTAGGATCATTTTACATCCATACATAATGTATAGCATGCAAATGGTCCCAAGCAGACCCCCCCCCCCCCACTCACTGCCAAAATGGCCCCCCTGCTGCAGCTGTTAGATTTGAATTTAGCACCACTGTGCATGGCTCTGCCTGCTCAGACCTGTTATTTATTCAAAGAAATCTGTGATTAAATAAACCGCAAGTCCCACCTGCCACCGCAGAAAATGGACTTGAAGTTCTTAGTGGAATACAAGTGTGAGGATTACTGCACTTATAGTACACTGAGACTTTCCCCAGCAGACATAGAGCTGGAAGAATAGTCTGCGAGAGCCTGAGTATTGCACTCACCGAAAAAACATTTTTTTTTTTTCTACAAATATGGGTGTGTTTATTTATTATTTTGCAAAAGGCGGACTTAGAATTTAAACCAGGCTTGTGTTTCTGTAGACCTGTTTCAGTTGGAGAGACTTGTGTCTCCTGCAGTCTATACTAGTGTTTCTCAATCTTTTTTCAGTCAAGGCACCCTTTAAAATTATGGACAGTCTTGAGGCACCATATTCTAAAATGGGGTGCGTCTAGACTGTCCATAATTTTAAAAGGGCACCCATTCTAAAATGTGAAAAACTATTCTATTAGTTTTATATAACGCAGCAACATCCACACATGTGGGACACCCAACATTTGAGGTGATTTATTCTTCCAAAGCAAATATACTTTTGCACACTGGTACTGACTAGTATCCCAGTGTTTCTCTCCTCCCTCAGTTGTTCTCCATCACTGAGCTAATGTGACCCCAGCACTGATGGAAAGGGGCAGGGGATGGTCAAACTAGGATGCTGTGCAAGCAACTGACATCCTCCTTATCAACTGATGACATCATTTGTTGTCAGGATGCCTGCGGCTAGAAGGTTGTAATGGTGCACAATGAAAACCTGTGGCTTTGTGTAGCTAAAAGGCAGGCTTGTTCCACCCTCTGGCTTGTATACAAGTTTTGGGCAATTTTTAGACATCTTGCCAAGGCACCCCTGAAGAAACCTAAAGGCACCCCAGGGTGCCTGGGCACCCTGGTTGAGAAAGGCTGGTCTATACCTCCAAACATACATTCTGTGTGCGTTTCCTGCACTGCAGGTAAATGAGCTAGCCTTTCAACCTGCATGCAGTTGCCAATGTATTGTTAAAGTACACTAGGGGGCCAAGTGCATTGAACTGCATTGTATAACATAGGCTCAATCCAGGCCCAAGGTATTAACAAGTCAAAATTTATTGTTTCCAATAAGTTTAGTTTTCTGTGCTGTGTTTGTGCACATTGAAAAAAGAAAAAGAATTCATTTTGCTTCTGCTATGAACAAAAAACACACAAAACAATGTATCCGTACCATAAAATGCCTTTAAAAAAAAAGGATGTCAATGCAAGTCAAGTACAATTAGTAGGTGTCAACACAACAGAAATGGTGCAAATCCAGAGTAAATGTTATCCTGAAAATACACTGAGGTTATAACTTGTAGTACAGTAGTTAGTCACATTCAACTGGGCTTGGTCTGTAATGCTGAACATTATAGAATGAGTACAGATGACTGTAACTTCTAGCTATAACATGACAAGGATAAATAAAAATCTTCACACACTATTTTAGGATGAAATAAATCTGAGCTTAGTTATTTAAAGTGAATACATTTTATGTTTCTAAAAAACATTAATGTGTTATATCTGATGTATTTTATCATATTAATATATCTTGTAGGGTCCACTGAAATGCTTCCTGGAATCACTAGGAAAACTTCAAAGAAAGTTTCATGCTAAAGATGCAAGGCTTAAATGCCCCATAAGGACCTACCTTGTGACAGCCAGGAGTGCTGCCAGCTCTGGGGCCCGAGCTTTGAAGACCTTACGCGCGTGGGGTTTGGAGGTGGATGAAGCCCTTTTCTTGGCAGGGGCCCCAAAGGGGCCCATCTTGAACAAAATACGACCTCATATTTTCTTTGATGACCAAATGTTTCACATAGAAAATGCACACGAGTCAGGTACTATTGCTGCACATGTCCCTTATGGGATTGGTCAGAAGTACCACAAATCAACCCTAAAGGAGGAACCTAAAAAGGAGGGGCCTAAAAAAGAGGAGCCTATTAAGGAAGAGCCTAATAAGGAGGAGTCTAAAAAGGAAGAGTCTAAAAAAGAGGAGCCCAAAAAGGAAGGGTCTAAAAAAGAAGAACCTAAAAAGGAACATGGAAAGAAATAGAAAAATGGTTCTTGTATTGTTAAGTACATTTAGATCTTGGTGATATGGTATGTCTTACAAATATTTTAAAGCACATTCCTTAAATCCTAAAATGTCTAAAGTAATGGTAGTCATGCTTGCCACCTTTTATATATGGAATGATTTCAAGAAGTTCACTAGGAAACAATAAGACTCTTTTCACTTAGACACAGAGAGAGGCAGTTCAATAATTTGTAGCCATCAGTGCACTAACCACCACAAAGCTGAATGTTATTTGTGATCTGAGATCTACCCTGCTGCAATGGACTGGTTGTTAGGTTAGGACGTGCCATAGATACTCACAGAACTGAATAGGTATCTATTTAGCACCTATAATAATAGGTCCATGTCAGCATGGTTGTTTTTAATATAGGTTCTTAGACTTCACCCAGCCCTTAGCTCTCATGTGGAAGTTAATGAGCCGAGACCTGTAAATCACTACATTTTATTACTTTATGAATAAGAGGAAAGAGTTTAAAACTTTCATAGTGGACTTTTTGGTACAATGGAGAGCAGTGGTGTGCAGTAACCCATAGTAACCATTCTAAAGATCATCTACTTGAACAGACCCCCTGCTTTTATTTTTTTTTTTAGATGCATAAACATGCAAGCTCATGTTAGGCAATCATCATGTCTACATCATAAGCTGACACCTATGGCACAGAATTGTATAGAATTGCTAAGATTGGATCAAACCCTGCCCAACCAAGAACAGAAGTCATATGCCAGCAGTCGTAGTCACACTGACACTTATTGTTGCCAAAAATACTTGAATTTTGCCAGATTGGCAATTATCTAAAATGTAAGGGTAGCTCAAGGCCATATATACAGTGTGTGTATATATATATATATATATATATATATATATATTGCAATGTTATGTTTATTTTAGTGGTAGCAGCAATTGAATGGTGAGAAGCGCTTGTAGATGTTTATACTACAACTCACAAGGTCCAGAGCTGGTCATTTATATCAAAGGACAGGGAGATATGGGGACCTGATACAGCCCGCTATAGGTGTTTTTTTATAGCTTAAGATATAGATGTAAATGCTTCAGTTTGCTCAAACGTTAATGTTTATTTTAGTGAGATGGGAGGATCATGCTGACTTCTCCAGCACTGACCCTTCTCAGAATGTACAATTGCAACTGGTCAAGGTTTTTCAACCTCTCCCAGCAATTTTCCCCCCAACAGTTCACATCTGAAGGTATCTACAGATGCCCAAAGATATGAGATTATCACTAAATTCAGATCATTTTGACCATATCCTCCCAATTTTTAAGGCCAACTCTTAACCCTGAAGATAGACATCCATTAGGTTTTATGATACAGTAAGGCTGCTTTCAAATCAATATGTTTTTCTTCTGCTTCTGCATTAAAAAAAAAAACCGGAAGAAAAACGCGTGACCATGTATTCCTATGGAACTCTTTACACTGATCTGTTGTTTTTTTCAAAATCATGCTTGCTGCATTCTTGGTGCAGGTTTGCTGTGATAAAAAAATGCACCAAAAACACACCTCCCCTTTGAAAACAATAGAAAACAGCAAAATCACATAAAAAAATGCACCTGCGTTGCGATTTTGGTGCGGTTTTTGAGTCACATGCCTAATATACACAATGGAGCTGTACTTTAGTATAAGAAGTGTTGCTGACTTGGGTTTATGTACTTGGAAATGGAAAGGAGGAGGACATGAGCTGCTTAGAAAATTGCATGGTGCTGATTATCTCAGGGAAGTACAATAGCTTTTACATTATATCTCTACATTTTCAGGGAGGACCCAAGTATGACATCACCCAGTCCAATGACTGTCATCTAATGTCTATGGGTAGCTTAAAAGATAAATGTATAAATACTTAAAAAAATTAATTCAGCATCAGGTGACCCTAGCCAGATTTTCTCAGGATAGATAACTTTGTAGGCCAGGTATGCTATGGTTGCACTGTGAAGCCTGCTTACAGTTTTGAGCCTTCTTTGCAACTGTTTACAGCTTAGCTGTATTAGTACTAGGCTATGTCTACTCGCTAAAGACAAGTAGGCTGGGTCTGCCCTAGGATGGCTGTGATCCTTTATGAACCAGGCCATGGCGGGCTGTATTCAATTTTTCAGTAGCTTACATACATCCTGATGCTTGCTATGGGAATAGTGAAGCTGTCTACTATACAATGCAAGAGGAGGAATAGACTACATTTTTCATTCATTGTTGGCAAGAGAATCCTCAAGTCGGATTGTTATTTGTACAGTTATCCTTCATAATTTGAAAACATCGAGATTATAATTGGAGTTTGCGGCTAATTTTCCTTGCTGGTAGCATTGAGAATTGTCATCTTGAATCTTTGATTGCATCTTTTTAATATTTATGCCCGTGGGTGGTCTCCTTAAGCTGCTGAAACCTGATTGCTGATTGGATACTAAGCTTTTCTGCATTCCATTGCTCTTTCACTGTCAATAAATAATTAGGAGCACTCTTGAGGGGCAAGCATTGTGCTACTAGAAATAGCCAGCCTATCAATTCACTCAAAAGTGGTCTCACCGGTGAATTGATAGGCTGTGCAAAAGTGGTTCGCTGCACTGTGAGCTTTATGTACATTATAAGAGTTCATAAGCTAAGAGTCAGCCCATACAAGATGAATAATTGGTGATGGGATGGATGTGTTCAAAGCCTCCAGTTACGGCATTCAAAAGGTATTGCTGGATTCCTTGATAAAAGATCTTTTCATCATGGTCCTAGTCGTGGATGCAGCTGGGCACACAGTTGTGGATTAACCACCACTAAAACTGCATCACCTGTTGGGTGATTCTGTACTTATTTCCAAAGCACTGAATATAATTTTGAGTGGAGTGATGTTTAAGAAATCACACAGCTGCTGGATATAAACAAACTATTGCCTTCCGATATTCAGGTCATCTTAGCACTTTTTATAAAACTAGCACCTAATTTACTGTATTTTTTCATTCATCATGTTTGTCTTTTGTGTTTACCATAGACTCTGATATGTTTCTTATAAGCACTGAAACTGGGATGTATAAAACATACATAGGTGACAGTCAATACCATATTCAGAGTGCACCTGTCGCCAGAACATAGGAAATATTTTTCCTCTCTCCAGTCTACTAGGCTGTAGTGGCAATGGGGTTTATTTACTAAAGCCAAACAGGTTGTTCACTTTGCAAGGAAAGTTGCACTTTGCCCCAGAGCTTAGTGAAAGTGGTGACACTTTGCCTGGCAAAGTTTACCCAAACATGTTCAAGGAAAGTAAAAAAACAAAACAAAAACCAAGCATTTTGCACATTGGATGATAGAAGTCAGAGGAGCTTTTTCTCATTCACTAAGCTCTGGGGAAAATTCCCTTGCAAAGTGAACAACCTATTTGCCTTTGGTAAATCAACCCTAATGCATATTAGGATTGACAAGAAACACCTTTGTTGCCCAAAGCAACTCATGAATGTCCATGTTATTCTTCATTTTTATCAAAGACTGCTGTTCTTTTACACTAAGCACTAGAGAAGCATAGGATGTTCACTATTTTTCCTACCTGTCTTTATGTCCCCCCCCCCTCCCCTGACCTTTAGGCCTAGGCCTTTTTTATTTCACAGAAGTGGGTTTGTCTAATTTTCCTATTGTTCCTCTAACCACCAGTGCCTATGGTAGTGCCAAATCATTGGTCAATGACACACAGTCTAGTCATCTTGGACTATTGGGGACTTTGTTACTATGTACATCATGTTGGCAGACTTGGAGAGATGCACTATTGCCCTGTAACAC